TGGTGCCTTCTGCATACACATAGTGTAAGAAGTAGGTGTGATGTCACCTTTTTTGGTTGTCCTAGTAACAAGTTAAGCTGTTATTCAAGAGAAATGTACTGGGCTCTGCAGACAGGGTAGATGGAAGAACACTCACTTTTGGATTTGAATAAATTGTAGCTTGAATTATTTGTTGCTATCAAGACAGAATGCATTTGAAAATGGCCAAAACAGTGCCAAGGTGCAGACACACAGGACTAGACTGGATGTAGGTGAGAAAATCAATATTGCAAGCAGAAACTATAGAAAAGCCTTAAGATTTACATCCATCACTTCACTGGAATAAGGCAGAAATAGTAGTTTGGGCCTTGACACTGTCTAAATATGTGATCACTTGTGGGGCAGAGAGAGATGTAACAATAGGCAAGCTGCTTAGTCTAGGAATAAATTCTCAATGTCAAATTTAAGCCCAAAGCTGCTTTAAAAAAAGCCTTGAAAACAAATGTAGTTGTAGTAGGTACTTGGTGACAGGAGAGGGTGTAGAATATTAGCGTGTTATCACACAGCTATTCTAGTTCTGTGTACTTCCCTCTCTTCTTAAAAGTACTTGTACTTGAACTACATCCTTGGCCACCTCCACAAACCTTGAAGCGAAAATGAAGGAAAATCAATTTGTCAGTAGTGGGTACTTCACAGTAAAATATCATTATAGTGCCTACATATATGCATAACCACAATGCTGTTGGGGGGCTGCTGAATCCATGAAAAGGGAAAAATTACTCAGGGCTAATCCATCAAGAGATTGGGCAGTAAATATACTAATTGAGTAGTAGTAAATATAAATTGTGTACTAGTTGTTGAAGGTAGATAGCTGGAAATGACCCCATCCTGGCAAAAGCAGAGTGTAAAACGTAGTCTCCTCACCTAGCCAGCTACTCAGAACAATCTGAGATAGAAGAAAAGCTTCCAGAAAGATTTGCAATTATTTTTCTGGGTGATATGTTAATGAATGTATCAAGCTGATTGTTCAAGCAAGAATACCTGATAATTAGCAGTTATGTCTGTGGTATGAGTCTTATGAGGCAGATAACCACTTTGAAGAACTGTCTGCAGTTCAACCTGCTGGTGGCAAATGATTCAGGAAGATCTCGGGAATCATTTTGGAATGGTTCAGCAGTACAATAATCCACTGCAAAGGAGGAGTTTGAGGAGACATCTCTAGATATAATCCAGAAAGGATGCTGCTGTCCCGTCTGAACTTGGGGCGAGCTGCAGTTACTGGGGTCCATTAACCTGTTTGCTGGAGCAAGGAGATTGTGTCCCTGCCATCAAACCACAGAAGTCAGTTATACTAATTTATATCCTACCACAATTAATCTGGAATCACTATATGATAGGAACAAGGTTTTAAGAATAAGCGAAGTTCACAGCTCAATTGTTTTAAAAATGTCACTCCTGTAGTGCTAACATTATCTCTTTTTTCCATCAACCTCCGTCTGTTTGCCTTTGTAACTTGCTGTAAGGATACAGCAGAACAAGAGAAACAGCAGAACCTTTCTATGCTGATCAAGTTTGTTTCATACCCGATGCTTCTTAAAAAGCACTTAGTGTGATAGCAGCTGATTTGTAAGATCAAAAGAATCTATTAGTACTTAAAGACAAAATTTTGGATGGAAGGGCACGTCATTAGCCAAGGAGCTATTGAAAAGCTGATAGAAATACTAACTTTTTTATTTATGTAAAAAAATCATGTTACAATTCAGATTAGAGCTGGGAATGGGGATAAAGAGTCATTTGAGACTGTAATTTCCTGTTGTAAGACACATTTACAGAAAAGCCACAGGAGAAGCATTACAATTTTTTTGCTGTTAGTTAGGTTATTCTCTCTGTTTGGTGTGAACGTGGTTCATCTGTTCATGAAACTTTGAGAAATAAAATTTCAGTCTGTCCAGGAATACTGTGTTTTGACTTCAAAAGATGCTCAGGATTGTTCTGTGGAATTGATCCTGGAGAACAGAGCTGTTGTAAACACATGGAGTTAAGCTGCAGGACTTTAATTTTTTGGAGTAGAGGTTTCCTGGAGTTGCCTGGTGAAAACCATGCCTCAGAGAGCATCATCTAATTGTTCACAGCTCTGAACAATTCTAATCTCCTAATCTATGGAAGAAGTGCAAAGTGTGATATTTCAGGGACCCAAACTAATAAATCACTTATTGGTTCAAATTGTGAACAGGACTTAGCAGGAAACCTGTGAAAAGGAAATGGCAGGAAGAGAGTGATTTATAAAATGACAGGAATAGGAAATATGCCAGTGTCAAAAGCTTTTTGGAGGCTTGGTCTTTGAGGGGAAAGTCAAAATCACTGCTGTTGATATGGAAGACTGAGGAATGATAGCTGGCTGTAGTTACAGAGAAATAATATGTGATGGGGAGATGTGGGATTAGGGAACAGAGGACAATCACTGTGCCTAGTTTCACTGAATAGGGGATTCCTTTCTCAAGAGGAAGGTGGAAGGAAAAAAGTTAATTGTAGACATGGGAAGGGTCATATATGCCTTGGCTCTGGGAATACTGCGGGAGGAACATGGAAAAGTACCAGGTCCTTGTGGGGAACATCAGCTGAGATTTTGGTATTGTAAAGCCAACCAGTGGCAGCACCGTTGAGGCTTCTTGACAAGAGTGGTTTGTCAACAGAGACAGAGCTCCCTTCTTTTTGCAAACTGTAGTAATAAAGATTACTGCAGTGCTGCTTGATCTGTGTGCCTTTGCTGTTACAGAGAGAACAGCCTGTAGCTCCTCTTCCTTCTCGAGAAAAGGCTCTACCTGCTGTGTTGATTGATTGAAGCTCACTGGAGACAGAGGAAGATTTAACACTCACTTGAGGGCTTCTCTTCATAAGTTTAACAAGATAGATAGCCTTAAAACATGTTTCAGGGTTGAGATTTGCAGAGGGAGAACACAAAATAAGGAAACCCTTGCATTGTTGGGATGGCAGCAGTGTTGTGACAGTATAAAATAATTGCTTTAATTAAAAGTTTCTCAAGACAGGAAATCCTTCTTTCTGAGCACAACCCAAACAAACAGTGTTCTACCCGCAGCCTTCAGTAGTGCAGTGCCCATTGCCACTGCAGAGGTATCCACTGGATCATGAAGGTGCTGTAGTGTTTGTTTCCAAAGACCCTGGGGACTGAACAGGTACCTGCAGGTATTGCATGTTCGGTACCTATGGGTCATATTCCTGCTTCACTCCCTCCAAAAAAAGTCTCCATCATTGTGGGTTTGAAAACATTCCGGGACTATGATACAGGATGGAGAAGCACCATTCTTCAAGAGAATCCTGTTCCCATGCTCTTCAGGAGGAAAAAAACAAACAAAACTTTTTGAGAATCCCATGTTCAAAAGGAACAGTGATTTTTATTCTTGGAAATATTTACCTCTCCTTGTAACTGCAAGGCAATATGAGCAAACCTCCATTATCTATTTCTGTTATGTGTCTGTTTTTCTAAGACACAATTTCTACTGTATCAGTTGCAGGAGAATATTAGAGTAATGAGTGGTGGAACTGCCATAAACATTTTCCACTGCAGCTTGAGAAAACAAAACTGTGTATTTTAAAGCCTTTAAAAACCATGTTCAAATAACAACTGTGTACATTAGAATGTATTTTTTTCAGTTAAAAACAATTTGAGAAATTATAAATTAGATTATTAATTAAAATTAATTTAAATTACATTAAAAAAGAGAAGACTTTCAACTCAGACAAGGCGTTCCTATAGAAATGGAAATTTTTGTTGTTGAGGTTATTAAACTTCAAAGACAAGCAAGAACTGAGATTACCTGGAAGAGCACTTATAGTTTTTCTTAAAAAAAAAAAATTAAAGAGGAAGGGGAGACGATGAAAGTTTTGCTGATATTCATTCTCCTTTTACTCTTGGTTTCTTGTCTGTGTGTGGTGAAGGAACAAGAAAAGGGAAAAAAAACACTCAAAAGACAAATTAACAGCATAGAAAGCTGTAATTACTTAGACACCTTAACTCAGACTTGTTCAGCAATAGAAACAAAACTAATTTTCTCAGTAATTGCATTTCAGTTATAGTTATTCAGACAGTTTATTCTGAAAGATGAAAAATTCCAGTTATAAAATGCATCATTTGATATACATTATGTAAATCAGGTATGTAATATTTTTGGTTCCAACCAGAATCAAACTAGAGAAATCCAAAGCAGAGTGACTGTGCTGCTCCTGCAGCGCAGAGTTGTTGGTCGTGTCACCACTGAGGTGTCTGCCTTAATCACCAGCACTGCTTTGGGAGTGTAAACTGGTTTTGCAACAGTTTTCAAGCATGAACCCTGTTGTAAAGGAAAACCATGTTCACATCAAACTAAGTAACCTTTGTTCTTTGTCACAGGAATCATGTACCGCAAGTCCTGTGCGTCTTCGGCCGCGTGTCTGATCGCCTCTGCTGGGTACCAGTCCTTCTGTTCTCCAGGGAAGGTGAACTCTGTTTGCATCAGCTGCTGCAACACTCCGCTCTGCAATGGACCCCGGCCAAAGAAGAGGGGGAATTCTGGTGTGGTGCCAAGGGCACAAGTGATAACCACTGTTCTGCTTCTTAAATTTACTCTGTTGTTTTTGTATTGCTAAACTTCAAGCAAGTTTGGTGGTTTTTTTTTTTTTTTTTTTTTTTTGCCCCAACACAATTTGTTCTGTCTCCTCCTTTCTTCAAAGACACTGCAATTATTTTCTGTTTGTTTCCAAATCCCTGTCAACAGCGAGGGAAGTTCAGTGGTTGTGTGGAGAGAGGGGCTGATATTTTTGGCAGCTAATGAGTTCAGTTAGCAGATTGAATTTCCAGTGTGCGCTTAAAAATCCCAGCAGGATACAGAACTCCTGCTCTTTTTGCATAACTGGAAACAAACCCATCTGTGTTATTCCTTTTGAGATGTAGTCACTTTCCTGTGTCATTTTAATTTCCGTGTTTTTTTAAGTTCATTGCTAATCATTAACTTTGCCTTATGAAGTCATACTTGATGTTCACAAAGGCCGTTCTGTGCGTCTGGACCATGCTCTGAGCTAGTCTCGAGGGGCACTGCTTCCAGGCTGGGCTCTGGTGATTCAGGACCTGGCTTCTGTGGACTGCAGTCAGGTGTGGGCTCCTTCTGGAAGGTGCTTAGGAAAACTTTGGTGTTGCCCTTGGTGGAAGAATTGCGCCTCGACGACATGAAGAGCAGCGGGCGTAGGGACCGGCTGCTCCGCGCTCTGGAGTTCTGGTTGGCTCTGAGGAACTTCTCCCTGTTGGCGTGTTGGATGGTCAGGCGGCAGCGCAGGATCTGCAGGAACACGCTGCGGAACTGCTGCGAGGAGATGTTGTACAGGAGGGGGTTCACCACTGAGCTGAGGTAGAAGAAGATGTCGGCTATTGGAAGGAGGGTGATGTACGCTCTGAAGTAGGGGACAGTCCAGTCCTGCTTCGGTTTAGCAGCTGCCATGATCCTTCTCACCTGGTTTGGCATCCAGCATATCGCCAGAGTGGCAATGATCAGCCCTGCGAGCAGAAAGAGGAAGAAAGAGGTGTGCATACATGGGGGAAAACACATAAAATACTATCAGTTCTGCACTTACTTGTTAGGAAATAGTACCAATTTTTCAGTGTTTGCTTGACAGCTTTTTCTGCCAGTAGCACTTTTTGGTTTGTTATTTTTAATAACTGTTACAAGGTCATTGCAGCACATGCTCTGACAAAAGGCCACATAGTGCTTGGGTAGTGTTTCTTTGTACCTGTTGTCATTTTTTAGTTTTCAAAGTGTTCATTCTCTGATCATCTGTATCTTTGAAAAGAATGTATTTTATTTTGGTTTTTGGTCTTACATTTCTTATGTCTTTCCCTTTACTTTGAAAAACAAACAAAATAAATAGAACTTATAGCCATATTAGATCAGGCAATACCCAGAAGAGATCAGATTCTTGTTTGTACTTTACAAAAAAGAAAATGTATGCATAATAATATATTTCGTGTTATTTTTGGTAGATTTCCTCTTACAGAAGCTATTTTTAAGTAAAATGTGTATGGATCTTTTTATGGTAATTAAGATATGTTGGGCTTTCTTAAAAATCAAATTCCAGTGGAATTAAATGATGAATGTAAATGAGAAAAACCCAAACCTAGTCATGAAAGTGTAAGCAGTTTCAGATTATAAATTATGCTTAAAAATGTGATATCGGACCATTTTGTATTTATATGCAAATATAAATACATGTTGCTGCATCACTAATGGCATTAAAAAGAGGGTGACTGAAGTGCTGGGTGTCTAAAAGTTCTGCCTGTGTGGAGCGGTGTTCAGTAGGGTGCAGTGGTGGTGCCATCGTCAGAGCAGCAGCCCTGCAGAAACATATCAGTGACTTGAGCTGGCTGTTCCCAGGCAGGAGACGGAGCAGGGACAAGGCACCTGGATCCTCAATGGCATCCTCACTGCTGGTGTGTGTCAGTACTGGAAATCCTGACACCTTACAGGAGATACCAGGTACACAAAGTAATTCCTCTCACTGCACCCCCACTACTGGCACACAATGCAGCCACCAGTTTACTGTCCCCACTTTGTTTTTCTCTTTGCAGGAAACGTGCCTTACAGGAACACTTGGAGGGAGCAGAAGGTGCAGGCTGGCTCCTTTCCTGCTGCAGGCACACAGAACAGCAGGGAGTATCCTGATGGGATAGTTCTTACTTGCGCAGACTTGTGTTACATTGCTAATCTCATCCAGTGTCTGACCTCTGCTCTCAACAGCAGCACAGAAGCATTTTAATTCTTACCCGTCTAGACTGAGTCAGATTGCCCCCACTGAACAGGTCACTGTTGGAATGCCGTTCTGAAATAGCACACACTGACTTTTGAAGCCAGGAAAATGATACTTCTCTAATGGGAAGATATAAATGTAGCAGAGAAGGGAGATAGAAAAGAGAAGAAAGATTTTTCACAACTTTGAAACTGCTAGAGCTTCATCAGAGTATGTCCTAAGATCTCTCCACCACCACCCCCAAGCAAAGAAAAGGTATGAAACGCCTTTTAAAAAAAAAAAAATTGCTAATGAAAGCAATAATTACTTCAACAAATTCATTATCTACCTGAATGAGCTACCAAATAAAAGTTTTCCTTTTGATCCCTTGCTCTGTAATCACCTAATGGTACCATAACTTTGGTGGGACAGGGCATGAGTGCATCTTAAACTACAACACTGGATTAAGAGCCCCAAAGGGCTGTTGTTGGCAGGCCAGTGGTAAATGTGTTACCTTTGCCATTTTCTGTTCTTTGCCTATGAGAACTCTCCTCAGCCACTGTTTCTTTACTCTCATTTCCACACAACCCTCTCCCTGCCCTTTTGCTTGCTCTTCCCCTGCTGCCTTGCCTCACTTTTCAGTACCTGTTGTGTCTCTGTCAAAGGTTGGTCTGAATTTTGTATTAGTCCTGCAAATTTTGTAGCCTTCAGTGCTTTTTCCCTGCTGTCAGCATAATAAATATGGGGTAGCAGTCTTGGCACAGACAAACAGAAAATAATGCCCCCTGAGCAATGACTTGTGATGGGCCTTATAAAAAGGCAGCAAAAGGATTCTGCTGCTCCCATGGGGCTTTTTCTCTGGTGCAACTTAAATGCCAAGTTCACAAACCCATGTCTGCAGACTTCTTGTCAAATTTTACCAGATGATCTCTTTCAAGGGAAATGAAAATAAGCTGTATTGTGTCATTTTTTTTTTTGTTGTTGTTCTTGGTTAGAAACAGGATACTTCATCATGCTGATTAATAGTTTCCTAAATTATGAATGCTGCTGTGAAAAAACTGTGAGCAGACAATAAGTACATTCAGTTTTAAAGCTCAACCGCAGTCTCTGAGATGTCTGATTTTTTGCTTGTATCTGAATTCTTTGCTATTGACCTTTCTTTTTAATTCAAACTGCCAAGTGCTTAAGATGCCATGTTATATTTTTCAGACACTTTTGTTCTGAAAAACTGAATATTTGTTAGGGTTTACAGCAGGTGAAAAATTAGCTGCTTGTGCCCTTGCACAGTGTGGTGATGTCAGTCTTTTGGGGGATGGGAGGAGATGTCTGCAAAACAGTTGTTTTCCAGGGATGACTAATTGTCCATTTTTATACTTTGAAAACATGCTTGTTGACTCAAAGGAGGTGCACCATGTAAATAAACATGCTGAGTGACTCACAATATTTTCTCCACTGTTCACACTTAACATGGCAGTATAGAGTAAACTGAAGCACATCAGAAGAGCACCTCAGGAAGGCTCTATGTTCAGTGCTGCTGCCGCCGTCAGTCTGAACTTGGACAGAGGCTCCGGGAGTTTGTGTTGTACTGTAATGTGCCAAAGGTGCTTAAATAGTCTTAATCAGTTTGAATGCAAACCAGACTGCATCTTACACCAGTACTGATGCATTCTCGCTTGAGCCTGCCACCTGCTAGGAATTATTCTTCACATTTCATCTCATATCCAACTTTGCCTTCTACTCCATATTAAAGGGAAAAAAATTAGTAGCTCTGGGGGTTTTTTCCCCCCCATTTTCCTGACCACTGCACTAAGTGCCACACTTGATGAAAGAAGAGATTTATCTCCCACGGAATAATGATGTTTATAAACAAAGTAACGCTGTGGTTCTGCAACCTCCATTACTGGTGCTTGAAATTTCCAACACACATTTGAATCATTCCAGTTTAATCATCAGAAGTGCATTAGACAATGCCAACAGAAGCCAGGAGCCCTTGTGTTATCTATTGACTATGAGTACATCTCAACCTTTAAGTAAGGGTGGGAGCTTACAATTCATTTAACATTGTTGTAGGTATTTCAAGGTAACAACCAAAAAAAACCAAGACATGAAAAGACCCTTGACTAAAACCAATTTAAATAGCTAAACCATAAAACAGCCATAAAATAGTTTACCCAAAATAGGAATGACCACATTCAAGTACAATTTTAATCTGTAAAAACCCACCCCAAACCTCTAAAAATAAAGCATGCAAATTTAACAATGCTTTAAATTTAGGAATCATTATTCTAACTTCCCAAAAGTCAATCTCAGAGTATTAATTCTTAATATGTGACAAAGGATCATTTATGTAGTAAAATAAACGTAGCGTTTAAGTGCCAATAATATAAATATGCACTGCTGGCAGAGAATAGGAGTTTGGCAGTCATCTGTCCCTTAGCAATACTTTTTTTATTACTCAGAATATTCCTCTGGGCCATAGGGGACTGAATTAAATTCATTATGAACTTTATTGGGAAGGATTTTAAATACATGCTTATGTCTGGTAGAGTAGAGAGGGCTTCCTTCTCCACCCTTCCAGGTTTTCCTTGTTTTTCTATTGAATAGGTTTTTGTCTTTTTTTTTTTTTCCTGCACCTGACCACTTAAATCTGTCTTCTTTTATAATCCAGTGTTTTGTCTCTATCTTGGCTGCTGCCAGCCATCCCACAAAACCTGAAATTGTCTACAACATTACAATTGTCACCAAACAACACCAACAACAGGTTTCTTTGGCTGCTACAGCCCATTAACGGAGGTAGTGGTTGCAGTGACCTCAGGTACACACTTCTTTGCCTGTGACACTTAACCCTGACTGCCCTGGTGCATCAAGGTCTGCCGGACTCTGCTGCTCTCGTAATTAGCCCAAAGCAGTGTTAGACCTCAAACTTTGCATCTCTGTGATTTAATTAATGACACAAAGCCTGGTTCTCAACATCTGCTTGTAAACTGACATTTAAATGGCAACTGTCAGTGGAATATAAGCATATGGTTACTGAGCTGTGAGTCAAGTTCAGGCAGCGATGCAGTTGGTTCAGAGGGAGACTTTTTTTAGCGCTCGCTTCTCATTTGCGTACTCGGCCCAACTACACATAAAGGCATAACGTGCCCTGTGCCTCCATCACAAAGTCCTCCAACAGTGCATCAGAGTCATGGCTCCCAAAAGAGGAAAAGACTGAGACCACCCCTCAGTATTAAGTTTACCATCATAAAACAATACTAATCATGAGGAAATCACTTGGTTCCTATTGGATTCTGCTACAAATGGCTTTGAAAACATGAGCAAAGATACCTTCTCGCAAATCAGGCTCTTGGTGGTCTTAATATAAGCCACTACTAATTTGGGAGAGCAAAAAAAGCAAAGACTCTAGTACTAATTAAGAAGGTTACCTCCAGGAGATGGGGTTTTGGCCTGTATTTATGTTACATTTATTATTTTAACCAGGACAAAAATCTTGCTTTTTATTAGAAATAAGGATATAAGGCAGTAGTTCATTGCCTTTATACTTTCTAAGAAGAGTCAAGCCACAAAACGCAGTCTTCAGTCACTGAGATGACCTTCCCAACTGCAGATCAATGCAGTGCTGTCTTCCAGCATCTGCAGCTGCTCTGTGCCCCCGCTGCTGCAGTTCTCTGCATGTGAGGAGTCAGCTGCCATATGCTTATTGTCTCCTGACAATTGTCATTGAAATGTCAGTTTACAAACAGCTGTTACTTTCATTGCTGCAAGTCTGACTTT